TATTACCATCTTCTGATGATAGTAGAGATGATATTAACATACAAGATTTTGAATTAGATGATGAGATGGATGAATCAAATGAAATTAATATTGATTTTTTACTGGAAGCAGATGATTTACAAAATTATCTTCAGTTGCTTGATCATGATATTTTAACTAAAGAATGTCTTACCGATGAACAAATTATTAATCTATTACAAGACGAAGGAAATGAAAGTGAAAATGAGAGTGATTCAGATGAAGAAGCAATAATAGTATCAGACAATGAAGGAATTGATGCATTTAAAATAATTATTAATTATTTTGAACAGCAAAATGATCCGGCATTTAGTATTGATGATTTGCATATTTTTAGAAAATACTTACGAATTATTAAAGCTAAAGTGTTTAATTCAAAACAGTAAACTATACTTGATAATTTTTTTGAGAGATAATAAACTTCATTTATTTTAGTAATCTAATCAAAATAAAGGGATATATATATATACATTTAATTTTTATATTTTTTCATGTATGCATTGATATAAGTTAAAATTTGAAATAGGTGATCAGAGTTTTTCTTTAAAAAAATATGATTTTTATATTAGATAATAAAAAAAAAATTTTTATAATCACATTAAGTCAAAATTTTATATAGATGTGACTATATAATAAAAACCTTACTATAAGTACTCCTTTTTATAATCACATTATTTGATGGTCCTGAAGGGTATGATCAGGGTTGGAAAATTAGTACAGTTAGTACAGTTTAGTACAGTTTAGTACAGTTAGTACATATAATAATTAATATAAAATTTAGTACAGTATAGTACAAGTACAAGGTCAAAATTTGCCTAGTACATACAAATTTCTCAACCCTGGATATGATTATAGAGGGGGACGACTGTACTCATCTTATTTATTTGACTAATGATTTACCTGATCAAATTTGAGTCATTTTCAAAGATCTTGATAAAGATAAACTTTTTGAATATATTTCTTCTTCAGCTTGTACTTGAAATGATTCAGACAAAACTAAGTTTAAAAAAATATTTGATCAAGTTATAGATTGGAAAAAAAGTGAATTTAAAAGTGATAGTAGTAGTAATTCAATGGGTTATTTTGGTAATTCAGGAGGAAGTTTTAAGTTTATTAAAACTCGTTCTACTCATAAAATTGATAAGACAATTGAATAAAGAGATTAGATATTTTAGTAATATACTTTATGTAATGCATGCTTTCTTTCCCAAAGATAGCAATTACTAAGATAGTCCTTTCTTAAAAGTTGGTGAAAAGAGTTGTTTACAATTTAAGAATAATAAAAATATAGATACTTCTTATACTCTTTATTGAAAAAAAATAGATGCAAACATTATTGAAAAGAATTATTTTGTTGAGTGTGGAAGTGCAAGTATTCTTAAAGTTCCTTTTGACTTTGAAAAAAACACTTAACTTGAGCAGATGGTCAAATTCCTGAATTCTTTTGACAAGTTTATAATAATAATGAAGCCATTGATTTTAGTAAATATAGTACAGTATTAAGTAGTAATACAGTTAGTCTAAAAAAAATTTGTGAAAAAGAAATAACTGTTTATAAGAAAAAATTAAGTAGTGAAACATTATTAATGTTTCATCACTTTATACTTAGAAGTAATTATAGGGATTATATTAAGAATTTAGTCAAAAATGGCATGGATGCTGATGGAAAAAAATGATTAACAGATAATGAATATAAATTAGTTAAAAAAGAGTTGAATAGAGTTGCTAATAAAGTAGCATTAGCTACTATGAAATCTCTTGCAAGTTTTAGAGATAGTGCAAGAGCATTAAAGATTGATGAGTTAGAAAAAAAAGCAATTGGTTTTAATTCAAATCAGATAAGATAGCTTGCTACTAAATGTAAAAAAAATAACAAAGTTACTGATTCAATAATAAATTTATGAAATAAATAAGCAACAGATACTGATGTTGTATTAGAGAATTTAAAAGAAGAAGGTGCTAAGTTAGGTAAGAAAGTTGATGAATTAAGAGAAATTAGTTCTAAACAAAGTAAAGTTAACAGCGAAAAAGAAGCAGCCAAAAAAGTAAAAGAAGATGTTAAAAAATTATAGGTAAGTGGTTTAATTACTCAATTTAAAACTTTTTGAGATAAGCCTGATAAGAGAAGTTATCAAAGTTATTATTTATGCGTAACATTTTGAGATAGATTAAAAAGTGAGAAAGTTTAAAAACTGATGCTACTTTTGATCCTGCTGCTAAATTAGCCAAATTAGATGCTGCTGAAACTGATAATCAAAGTAAATTAGCTAAATATAATCATTGAGTAGAATATAATACTTACTTTACGGAAAGATTAGAGAACTAAAAAAAAGATAATGGTAAATACTTTAATAAGAAAGTTATAAAAATTATTTACAAAGTATAAAAGATTCTTTAGAATCAGTAGAACAGGGACTAGATTCTGTGAAACAAAATGAGTTAGACCAAATTAATCACTATATTAAGAATGGTGAAGTCCCAATAAAAGAGAGAATTCTACCTATAGAACTAAAAGGAGTTTTAGAAGTCAAAAATAATGTATTTAGTGATCTAACTAAAAAATGAATCAATTATTTCCAAAACATTAATTTCAAAATCAATGCTAATGAAATTAAAGAACTGGCAGGCAGAGTTAATAAACCAGGAGCTAAAATCAAAACCTCTGAGTTAATTAAATACTGCAAAAAAGTATTGGCTAAAAAACCTGAATTAATAGAAGATGATACTTATGATCTTCCCAATCTAAGGGATAAAGATCGTGATTGATTAGATTGATTCTTTACCCAAGACCCTAAAATAGTGATGAAAACAATTGTTTTATAAGAAATCAAAGTAGATAGTAATCTCAAAAAATAAATCCTGAAAGAGATAGAAGATTATAAAGAAGATCAAAAAGGATTGGTTAGATTAGATCTCTCAGTTTATAGAGATGGTAAAGAATTTACTGAGGAAGGAATCATTAAGTACTATGCTAAAAAGTTAGAAGGACAAAATTATGTCAAGAAGCACTATGAAAAGTCCTTTGAAGATAATCAACAAGAAGGTTTCTAAAGAATTAATAATCCTTCTGCTTAAACAGCTGGAGGAGAAATTCTTTTATTACTAAGTAGTCTTGGTTGAACCATCTGAAAAAGAAAACTCCTAGCACAATGATGAAACTTCTCTATTGAACTAGAAGAAGAGAATGATGAAGAGAATGATGATTAATAATGATTTGATTATTTATTCTGCCAGTCTTCTTTTCTTTCTTGGTTCACTATAAGTTGAGGTTAAGGTTCATTTATTGTTTATTGTTTTTCGTTCCTCTTGGTAAATTTCATAAGTAATTCTTTCTTGATCTAGATACTCTTAGAGAGTTTGGATGTCATTGATTTTAAAAATGTAAGACACAATTTTCTCTTCTTGAGCTTTCTTTAAAATGCTTCTAATGGTGTTGTAATTCTTTGGTCCCATAGTGGATTTAATGTAAATTAATATTTTATATAGAGATATTCCTATATTAATCCTATTATGGTTTATATTCATCCCATTCTGATATGATAAAAGGAACATTAAAATTAACAAGTCTATAAGTTATGAATGAGCACTATTATTACTTTTTAAAATGTCATCAGGTACTCTGGTCAGTTTTACAGTCACATCATCATCAGCCTCTCATTTATTATTATGTCACATAATAGAATGTTCACTTTGTCTGATTTTGTTGCAGTCTGCCCATATACTACATTAACTTGCTTTTAAATTTGTCATTGATTTAATAAATAAAGCTTAAATTCTATAAACAAATTCTAAAATATATTTTCTATACTTATAAACAAATCAATTGTCATAACCCTTTAGTCTTTAATATTAAAATATCAATAAATAAAGATCTTTTAGCTGATTTAGAAAAATAATAATTTAAGTATAGTATTTTTAAAATGTTATTATATTATTTGATATTAGAAATTCAAATTATAAAGAATTGACTTATATAATACATTTTAACATTTAGAAATAATTCGTATTATAATGATTTTTATTAACTTACTTAAATTTTTTTATATAAGAAATAAAATTAAAAAAGGAAACAATTTGTCACACGACAAATAAAAAAAAAGTACAAGCGACGTCTCAAATAAGGAAATTTTTTTGTTTCGGAGAAATCGGAGAAAAATTCTCAAAAGAAGATTACGTCAGAATATCAATGAATCCAAATAAGATATAATAAAAAAATGGTCTTTCAAGCAGCGAAACAGACAAAAACTTCTGAGGCGTACAAACAGTACGTCCAAAGTCTTTACAAGTGGGAAAAAGAAATAAAAGTACAAGAAAAGATTCTTTCTAAAGACGAATCTTTAACAACTTCGGTGGGTTAAAAATATGTTTAAACCTCTGATCTTATACAATATAAGTTTTTTATGTCAAGACACTTTATTATTTTATTCATTTTTTTATTTATTTATTTTGTTTATAAAAAAAAAATATCATTTCTTGAACGAACTTTATAAAAGACTTATCCTCCAATTCGAACTATTGGTGAAATATTATTTGCCGCAGTACAAAAACCTACGCAGGTTTCCGTGTCACCTGAAATTAAGGAAGCAAAGGACATCAATCAAAATAAAACTGAAAAAATAAAAGCATTTGATTACCAAGCTTGGGATAAATTTGATGTGGTTAATATACATATCGATTTTTGATGATTTTGATTTGTATTAATTTTTAACATAAAACAAAAGAACATATTTAACTAATTTACAATTTGAACAACAGGATAAAGCTTTAGAGGAATCGGACGAAGAAATTAATAATCAAAAGATAAAAGAACTTACCGAAACTGAGTTAGCTGCAGAATATAAAGCTCAACAACAAACAAAACCTACATCAATGTCGACAAAACGTTCAGATCGTAAAGGAAAGAAGACTGCTAGATTGGAACAGGCTTTACAGGAGAAAGAGACGGTGGGAGGACCCACATTATCACTTTCATATTTAAAGTGCTCAGTTTTGATAACAATTTAATTAGGACATTTTTGATTGGATATTAAGAACAAGATTATCTTCCGTTACGATTTTTTATTCATTGCGGGAATATATTTATGATTTTAGGGGAACGCATTCTTCAAAAAAGGAAACTACACAAAAGCGATTGAACATTATGGAAGGGCTATGGAATTGGATCCTAAAGAGGCCGTTTATTTCATTAATCGGGCAATGGCTTATCTGAAGTTGCAGAAGTGGGTGTGAATTCATGTTTTTACTATCAACAATGTATTCATCATATTTAAAGTTAAAATGCATTTCTATTCTTTGGATTTTAAATTAGATGGGAAGATGCAGAATTGGATTGCACTATCGGATTAATGTTGCATCCGGATAATACCAAAGCTCTTTGGAGACGAGGTATCGCAAGGAGAGAGCTTGGTAAATTAGAAGAAGCTAAAAAAGGTATAATTTACATATAATCTTTATATCTAATATGTTCATTGATTTACTTATTATCTTTATAATTGATTTTAGATCTCCAGGATGCACTACATTTAGAGCCTCATGATAAAGCTGTAAAAGAAGAACTAGATAAATTGTTAAGCGTTATTGAATCGGTAATAATTTATAATTTAAAATGGAAGTCAACCTTATTATATTGTTGCATTCATTTCGTTTATTATATACCTTTTAGGTCACTTCTAAAAAAACAGCTGTAGATCAGGCAAACGATGTTCCCCGACGTCGATTAACTATCGAAGAAGTTGACTTCGATGAGGATGATTTTACCGAATCAAAAAAAACTGATCCAATAAAACCTAGTGAGAAGGTTATTAAGGTGCAAATCATGATAGTATGAAGAAATTATTATTAGATGATGTTCTAAATGATTGATTTTTATCTTCTTATTTGAAAACCAATCATAAGCCAATCGAAAATTCAGTAACTTTTCCAAAGGCTTCTCCCAAAATATTTAAGGCACCACAATCTATGATTGAATTCGAAAGTGATTGGGAGAGAATTCAACAGAATGACGAGGATTTATATAATTATATAAAAGTCAAGTATTAAATAGATATGAAACTAGGTTCTTTTTCTAACTTTTAGAAATGGTTATTAACACTAGTTGAATATATATTCTAGGTTATTCCACCTTCTTCTTATCCAAGCCTTTTATCTACTTTTTTTGAAGCCGATTATCTATCTCGAATTTTGGTTATTTTGAAAAATTTCTATTTAGTGTATGTAAAAGTAATTCTTTGAATGATCAGATTCATATGTAGTTATAAATTCAATATAAATTCCTTTTTTTTTTTAGGCATGATACGGTTAATGATATTTATGATATTTTATATAATTTGAGTCTTGTTGTGAGATTCGATATGATTGTGTCGTTCCTTGAAAAAGAGGATAAAAAGGGTAAGAAATAAAATAAATCTAATTGTTATAGTTTTCGATTTATTGTTATTAACAAAACACTTGTATTGTTTAATAAATTTAAGTTCTGGTGGATTTGTTCAAAGCTTTATATGAATCATCTAAAGGCACACAAAACGGTGTTGAAAATGTACAAAATTTAAAAAAAGTGACACGAGATGAGGTCTTAGGATTGGCTGAAGTTTATCATATTCAGGATTTAGTTGGATAATTTGTCCACATGTACTTAATTGAATTTATGCAAATTCGAAGTTAACAATAAAAAAACGATATTTGATACCTTTTTTATTAAGAAAATGTTTTAGACGCAATGGATTAATAATAATTTAAATTACCTGATCGGTCATATGATATATCATTGACCTTCAAATTTAGCAAGTAATGCTTTAAATTTATAATATAAAATACATAGAATTGATAAAGGCAATCTAATAAATAAAAACAATCATGTAGTAAGATAATATATAAAAAGCTAAATACAAACTTTTTGTTTTAATTGTAATACAAAAGATTTATTGAAATAAATTATTTTTTTTTTTAAGAAATTTCTTATAATAACTTTAAAATAAGCTCTGCAGTTTCAATTTTAAAGGTGATATTAAAAACAACAAATCTTTTAACTTTTTTCTTAAGTAAAAGAGTTTTATTGGATTAGTACATAATTTTATAATATTTACCAAAAAAAAATTTAACATAATACTCAAGCTAACAAAATTTTATTAATAATTTTATATAAAAAATCAGAAAATAATATTAATAATGATAAGTTTTATTTTTATTGATTTTACTTTACTTGCACAAAATAGATAAAAGTTCACTAACCAGGATATTATCTTTTTATATAATTTATAAAATTGATATTAGAATACACTTTTAAAAAAATTATGTTAATTTGATTGATCATATTACAAAAAATCTGATTAACAGATTTCTTAAAATCATAATAAAAAAACTTTAATGTTACTATATATAAAGATCAATAAGAAGATTTTTTTTTTATTATACATAAAGCTTTAAATATATGTAAAACAGTTTAAAAAAATACATGCAACTAATTATAAGTGATAAAAATCAGTGGTATAAGATCAACCATTTATATAGAGTATAACATAAAATAAGATGTATATTATGTATGATTTATGAAATAACTATTGTGTATTATATAGCAAAAGAATAGTATAATATAATATAATATATTATAATGTGATATGATAAAATGCAAAAATAAGCAAAAAAAATTTTCATATTAGTTTTTATATTACTCTTTTATTGTAAATAACTTAAAGTTCACATTTAATAATAATCAAAAATATCATTTATAATTATTAATGAGTAAAGCTCTTAATCAAATCAGGTCAACCTATTTATCTGACCTAATATAACCTGAAAATTCAGATCAGGTCAGTAAATTTTCAGGTTATTATTAGATTAAATCAACAAGTAAACCTAACCTGATCTAACTTGACAAATTAATTGTTCTTAAAAAATATTTTTATTATTCTTAAATGATAGTTTTATTATTTGTGAATGATATTTTATTGTTCAATTAGAATAGTTTATTATTATTCTTATATAACATTTTATCATTCTTAAATAATATTTTTTATTATTCTTAATATGGTTTTATTATTTATAAATGATAGTTTATCATTCAATTAGAATAATTTTTTACTATTCTTAAATGATAGTTTTATTATTTGTGAATAATATTTTATTATTAAATTAGAACAATTCAGTTAAATCAGATTAGATTAGGTCAAATAAAATTAAAATCAGGTCAGATTTTTATTTGACCTAACCTGATCCTCTCAGTTTAGATAACTTAATTAACCTAACCTAAATTAATCTGTTTAGAGCTTTATAAATAAGGAGAATATTATTTATAAAGAAGACTTATATAAGAAATACTTTATTATTTTAAAAGTTTATTTCATAAATATATGAAATAATAAAAAAATATTATTTAATAAAGTTAAGTAATATAACTTCTGATTTGAAAGAAAATAATGAAATATATATTTTAAAATAAATAATTATTAAAATTATATTGCATTTATTAACTCTTATTAAATACCTATTTACAAGTAAAAATAAAGTTGTAGTAGTCTATCATATTAAGAATATTAAAATATAAATTCAATATTTGTAAATATAAGTTTTTAAATAAATTATATAATAAAATAAAGTTTTAAAAATTATTAATTTTTTATTTTTGTTTAAGATTCAATATCTTATGGGTAAACCTTCTGATCAAAATCAAATAATTTGATATTACTATAAATAAAAAAATAAAATATGTTATGAACTCAAAAAATATGAATTTGCAAGTTTAAAGCTTAAGGAAATAAAATATAAGTCTGTCGACCTTAATTCTAATTTATGTTTAAAAGTGAATGAGAAATTATTAAATAATAATTTAAAAAATAATACTTAGTATAAGTATATTTTAAATTAATTAATTGTATAACTTGTAATATATTTTAACTGCCTAAAATTTTATTTAGCATATATTTGTCAGCAATTCAAACTAAATATTACTATAAAAAGAATAATGTAAATGTATTAAAAAGTCTATATTAAGTATCTAAAGCATTATGATAAATCAATACTATTATTTTATTTTATTAGTTGTAATAAAGAAATTTTAATGAAAAATTTTACCAGTTTATAAAATATTAAAAAAAAAATGTTAATCTTAATTTACTTCAATAACTTTTAAATGGATTATATGAGATTAAAATATTATAATTTTATATTTTCTAGTATATTTTATTTATTTTTTAAATTTAATATAAATACAAATTATTTATAATTTTAGGAAAAACAAAATAAACCAATAAATAATTATTTTTATAATATTAAATAATAGCTTAAAAAAAGTTTTGTTATAAGTTTATTATTAAAATATTTGTTTTATTATATTACATATTTAAAGTTATTTTTATTTATATATAATTTTTTTAATAATATAATTCAAAAATCTTATAATGTTAAATTTTATAAATTAATACCTATTGATTTAGAAAATACCTATATGTAATTATTGTATTCTAAGGTATTTATTTTTATATATTATTACTATCTAGTCATATATCAGTTTCTATTTATATTTATTTGCAAAAACTAATTTATTAAGCAGATTTTGATATTGCAAATATTACATTAACTCATAAAATAATAAGTAATTGATGTAATATTATTTTTAAAGTTATGAAATTACAATAATTAATAATTAAATTTAAATTTAAATTTTTAGAAAATTAATTAAAAATTATTTTTAAACTAAATATCTTGTGAATGTTAATACTTTCTTAAATAATATAGATCATCTTTAATATTATATAGATAAAATTCAAAAAAAAATCTATCTACAAGATCATAGTTTTTTAAGCATTATATTATTACTTAACTATCAATTAGGTAAACTGAAACACTTAATGATTAAACAATAGCTGAGTTTAGCTCAAACTCAAGTTTTTCTGAAAGAGTCTTTACTTAAATTCTTAAATTAAAGATTGAGAAAGTATATTATATACTCTTTTTCAAAATCTTATCACAGTATTTATTCATAATTTAAGTTTTTAAATCAAAAAGTATGATGGTTTAACTGACTTAATCTTTAAAATTCTTAAAATACTTCAAATTAATCAAGGATACTATACTAATATAATGATTAATTAAAATATCAATAAAGAAAAATAATCCTTTATTCTTTTAAAATTTATAATTTTACAAGTTTTATTTATATAAGAACGTTTGTTAACAAATAAAGTAAACATGATCAAAAATATATCTTAATAATAAATTTATAACTTCAAAAAATTTGTTTGTTTCAAAGTTACTTTTATTGATAATAAATAAAAGGTAATTCCTTAAGAATTACAAGTTTATACTCTTAAACTTCAATCTTAAAAAGTTATACCTTAAAGAATTTATTTATTTCAAAATTGTTTTATTAAAAATAAATAAGAAGGCAATTTCTCAAAAAATACAATTTATATTTTATAAATTTACTTTTCAAAAAATTACTTTTACATAATAAATTCAATGACTATTTATAATAAATTTCTAAGCTAATTTCTATCTTATTATAGAATAACTATGTAATGATTTTTTATTAATAATTAATATTTGTGTTATTTTGAAGTAATTACTACAATTTAATGACTATGTAATTTCATAAAAATGTTCTAATTATTACTTTATTATTACTACATTTTCTTTTTTTCTTAGAATCTCTCTTTAGTATATCTATTTTAAGCTTGTATTACATGTCATCATAGCTAATGATTCCATTTCTTTTTATTAATATTTTATCTTAGAATTTTATGTAACATCTAAACTGATAATTACTCAACTAATTATAATAATCTTCTGTATTATACCTAGAGTTTCAAATGAGTCAAATTAACTTACGAGTCAGATAATCTGAGTCAAGTTTAAATTAAGTTAAATTTATATTTTTTTGACTTGATGATTTGTGAGTCAAATCAAATTTGAGTTAAGTTAAATATTTAACTTGACTCGATTTAAACTCGACTCAAACTCAACTTGACTCAAGTTAATTTAAAATAGTATTATTAATAAATTAATATTTTAAAACTATAAAAATTATACATTATAATAATTGAAATACTTTATAA